TTTTATTGTTTTCTAGTGTTAGGATTTCTATTTTTGCAAGATTTAGGAGATCTAGTATAGTTAGGCTTAGATTTATTTTTGCAGCTATAAATACCCCATGTACCTCATCATATGGACATGTGGAATTGAGTATTGAATTGTTGAGTCAATTGAGAGGGGAACTTATGTTCTTACGTGTGTTTAAACAAGGCCGTTAGTGCGTGTTTACATACAGTGTCGGAGAGAAGGCCGTTAGAGCGTCTTGAAGTCACAGTGTCTAGGAGAAGGCCGATAGTGCGTCTGTTAGATACACCTATCGTGGATAAACGAAGGCCCTAGTGCGCGTTTATTCACAACCCAAGTATAGATAACAACACGATCACTTTTCATCAATGTGTAGGATAGTGACCATTTTTTTAAAAAAAATAATTTAGGGTAGATGTGGGTTTAATTTATTTAAGCTAAAGAAATTATTTTATTTAATGTAAGAAATTATTTTATATTAGGGTAACTTCATTGCTATCAATTTTGGCATTGGCTTTGAATTTGGGGGTGCAAAAAGGTTTGTTGTTGCTGGTTTTGTAGGTTGTTGGGAAGTCTGGTGTTGGGTGCTCTTGGCTTTCTAATTTTATGGTTTAAGATGATTTCAATTATTTATTTTGTGTGGTTATATATATTATTAAATTTGGCTAAAGTGAACTGCTCGAATAGCTTACGTGATGCACGTTTTAAAACACTAGGTATCCCATATCACTAAGTATTTTATAAATTTAGAAGTTCTAACACTGGATTATACTTCAAATATCTATAAATTATTTTGAACCACTGTAAATCGACACATACTCCCTATATATAATTCTCGAACGTGCTGAGACTAATAAGAGAAAAAAAATAACAACATTAAATATACACTTACCAACTTTGAAAAAAGATATTTATGCCTAATATCAAGCCTATCTCCAAACAAAAATGAATATATAAACAACATTACGAAGCATAAATTTTCGTCATGTCAGCATCTGAGGCGTGAGAATCTGCCACTTAAGCTCAACATATTTTGAGTTAATACAGAGAGAGATGTGTGTAAAAGTATAAATATTAAAATGTATAACTATATGAAAAATTGGTCTAATTAACATCAGCATACAGTTTCAACGTGGACAAAAATGATGAATACACTTATGGCACTCAACTACAAATCTGTCCACAACAGTTGGGAAGATGCTTATTTAAAGGTACTCACTTAATATTAGCCCAATTCGATTCACGCAGATATCGTTGCCATCTTAGCTATATTTTGTTCTCTTTCCCAACAAAATTTATAATCGTTTTTGCACACTTTGTACCATATGGAAGCCATTTTACTCTTGGTTTTTGCCTTTCTAACCCCAGCATTTTGTAAACCTTATACAAAATATGAATCAATCTTCGGCTTTGGCGATTCACTTACCGATACCGGGAATTTGTTACTCTCGGGAGCCCTCAAATTCCCGGTGATCGGACAATTACCCTACGGCGAAACTTTTTTCCACCGTGCCACCGGCCGATGCTCTGATGGCCGCCTCATAATCGATTTTATTGGTATCGCTGCATTTTCGAAATTAAAATAGAATTTATGTGATTTTTCTTCGTTTTGATATTTGCTATATTTGTGAAAATTGTAGCTGAGGCATATGGATTGCCTTATATACCACCATACTTAGCAGTGGCCAAGGATGATGAGAAATTTGAGCATGGGGTTAATTTTGCTGTAGCTGGGGCCACAGCTGTAGATGCTAAATTCTTTTACAACCTCAAAATTGGACAGATTTTGTGGACAAATCATACGTTAAATGTTCAACTTGCCTGGTTCAAAAACCACAAATCCAACCTTTGCTCTTCCACCAAACAAGGTACAAATAATTCTATGTCTATATCTAATTGGTAAATTTTATATTCATTATTTCAATTGGAATTTTATGTGTGTTTATTTGCCCTTTATTGACAAGTCAAGTCATTTTTCATAAGGAAAAAAAAAAGATAGATGTGGGAATACACTTAAAATAGGGTGGCAAATTATCCAATAGTATTGTGTTTGTATTTCACTCTTTTTTATTTTCTATATTATTTGATCATAAATATATATATATATATATAGGGTTGGGTTCACATGAGAATGGTTCCTAGTGAAAGAAATAAGAATAAGTATTAGCCATTAGATCTGATCATCCAACGGTAAAAAAGAAAATCAACATTTCTACATTTATTAAGGGTATTATAGACATTTTTTCACACAACAACTACTACCAGTGGGTCCCACTCTCCAATTAATTTGTTGTATGTCTCTCTCCTTCCCAATTAATTCTATTCCCGTTGTCTCTCTCTCTCCCCAGATATTTTGTTCAATTCCCCTCTCTCTCTCTCTCTCTCTCTCTCTCTCTCTCTCTCTCTCTCAGTCACAAACACAACAAACCCACGCACACACACCTCCACACACACACTCCGTCGGCCACCGCAACCAGTTCCTCCGCAGCCGCCAACTTCCTCTGTCGTTGTCGTTCACCGGTCGGTCGTCGCCGTATTTCTTCCACCTCGCCGAAAGTTTTTGATCCCGCCCCTCACCTACGTCACGAGTCTTCTCTTCAGGATACAGTCGCCGGTTTTCAGAGGTCGATACAACACCTCTTCCACCACCACGCGCCGCCGGTTTCGCTCCTCTCTGTGGTGGTTCGCCTTCACGAGTGAATGAGGCAACAGGGCGGCGTTTTGATTTCAACCACTACATGTCGGCCGGCCACCGCCCTTGAACACCTCCGACCGCCGCCGTGAACTCGGCGTGAGTCCGGCGGCTGGCGTCCTCCAACGCCTCTCAAGACAAGCCCTCTGAAATTGATCTTTGAATTTGGGCATCTTTTTTGAGAATTTGATTTTGTATAGGGACCTATTTGCAATTTTAATAATTTTGATTATATTTCAATTTAACCCATGGGTGAAATCTGTAATTATTGAAAGTTAATAAAAAATTGATTTTTTGTACATTTTGATATACTCATATATTAAATACCAAATAAATTATTAAATAAAAATAATATAAAATATTAAAATAACTAAAAATTAATTTTATAAAAATAAATAATTATATAATAGAAAAATAAATAAAAATATATTTTAATTATTTAGATTAATTAGATATACATTTATATTTATTAAAAATAGTTCTTGAGTACATATAACTTATATGGAAAATTATAGATTAGTTCATTTTATATAACAGAATGTTGCACTTTGTAAAACAAAACGTCGCACTGTATAAAATAATATGTTGCACTTTATCATTACACTTTACTAATAATAGATAAATTATATAATACAAATAATAAATAAAAATATATTTTAATTATTTAGATTAATTGAATTTACAGTTATATTTATTAAAAAATAGGTCTTGAACACACATAATTTATATGGAAAATTATAGATTAGTGTTTTTATGTAGCGGAATATTGCACTTTGTAAAACAAAACATCGCACTGTACAAAACAACGCGTTGCACTTTATCAATACACTCTATTAATAATAATTAAATTATACAAATAAAAATAATAAAAAAAATATTTTTTTAATTATTTAAATTAATTAGATTTACAATTATATTTATTAAAAAAAGTTCTTGAACACACATAATTTATATGGGAAATTATAGATTAATACACTTTATATAGCGGAATATTGCACTTTGTAAAACAAAGCGTCACACCGTATAAAACAACGGTTGCACTTTTTTCACTTCACTCTACAATTAATGCCAAAACTAAAAATACAATAGTAAATATAATCGTTGAAAAATAAATATATTTTTATAATATAAATATTAAATCATATTTTATTTAGATCAACTTGGTTAATCGATTGACTAAATCGACCAATTAAATCGGTATTAGTTTGCATACTATTAAAATATCTAGTGCACAATACGGTATACGAATCGCGCTTTCATTACTATCGGATTGAACAATATGAAAAATATTATGACTTTTTTAAATGTTTATGTATCGCGGGAGCACATTAGGGTTGTATGAATTGCACATTGATGGGTATTGGATCGCACATTATCGAACGGAACTGATCGACTATATTTTCAGTTCAAATTTTTATATTTTGATTAGATTGTATTTCTTTACTTGTAAAAGCTCAGTTATTTAGTGTAATAATATAATAATATGAAAATAT